TATATATATAGAATTCCAATTATTCAAGGTAATGTGGACCAATGCTACCTCAGATAACTGAAAACCTGAATAAAATAGATGACAGTGACCATACCATTTCAGATTAAAAATTACAAATATAAAAGATTTATATGCACTTTTACACCTTTTTTTTTTTTTATGACTTAGTGAATTTATCATCATTTTTACATTGTTTATTATACCACTATACTTGCAATAGTTTTAAGAATAAAAATGTGTATTATTGGAGCTTTGTTTTGTAGGAATGATTTGTTTCATATTGAAGTCAAATGATGAAAGGTATCAGAAACAAATTTTGGAATACATGTTATTACAATTTTTATGATGACTCGGGATATCTTCTAATAACTTTGAAGTTAAGATTTAGAACAATAACATGTATATAACTTTGAAGTTAAGACTATTTACAAAAATATACATTTTCAAGTCTATCCATTTATCCTTTAACACAACCACANTAATTTATATATTGAATTTCATATATTTAAAATATATTCAATTATATATAATTAAATTAAAAATAAAACTCTAAGACAGTTGGCAACATCAAAGTGTTGTCAGCTTGACTGTCACGTTGGAATTATTCTCGTTATTGGAAATATCGGTCATTTTTGAAAAATTGTAATTAAAAAGTTTTTCAAATAATAATCAAGAATATTGCAACAGATTTAAAATGTATGAGGGAGAAGAATACGTAGACAGCGAGGTAAAATTTATTTATATGTTTATCATATATTAAAATGAATACTAATAGTTTTAACCTTTTGCTTTTCTTTAATTGATAACCATCAAAGATTTTAAACAATTACTCATATATTTAATAACATCTTATTATTGGTCACATTATTATACTGTAATACACACAATTTTAAAAATCAGTGAATCTTAAAAACAAAAGGATCAAAATCTAATTTAAAAATGTTAATTAACATATGTGTATTATTCTATTACATATTACTGCTTTCTAGTGATGGGTTTTAAAACGAAAGTAATGTTTAATTGGGATCTTAATTAAATATTGATATTTCATAAAAATATTTTGAAATCTTCATCTTAATGTAAGAGAATATGGTTAATGTTTACCTAGGTAGTCCAAGATGGCTGCACAGTGGGGACCCACGTTCTAACCTAACCTAACCTAATAGATTACCAAATTATTGGTTTAACCTTTATTTGTATTGTATTACATCCAATAATCATGTTTAATATTTTACAATAACAAAAGTAGTAAATAATTTTGTTGTTTATTAATATCCAGGCACAATTATCATGTACACTGGGGATGGTGAATCTATGGCACGTGTGCCCAAAGTGGCAGATTGGGAGAAATCATCTGTATCGTGTGATTTCGATTTATTAACCGTCTTTTTCGGTCGTCTGTTTGATTTATCACCTGATTATCCTTATTTCGATTAGCTTCTTTACATTTATTTTGATTAAAACATATCATTTCGTTTCTTTAAATATCATTATTTGAAGTTTAAATCTTTTGCATGTACAAACATTTTTAAAGTTAATTATGTTTACTGTATGGCATGTGAACTCAAAAAGATTTTCCATCCCTGATATACACTATTTCATAATTTGATGTGCCTAAATATATTTGTCGGCCAAACAATGTACCCTATGAACCGATGACCGGTGTGCGGCAAAAAAAATCAAAAGAGAAAGTTCACCACTAATGTTTTCGAACTCCCCTGAGTTCTTCGCGTGTTAAAAGGAATTCTGATGGAACATTGTTTTCCATTAGTGGTGAACTTTCCCTTTTGTTTTTGTTTTTTTTTTCGGCATACACCGGTTGTCGGTTCACAGGGTACATTGTTTACTGCACCCCAGTGTTGTGTGTTGTTGTTTGATATTTGTCGGCCTTTAATATGTAATCAGATTAAACACAAAAAAATAATAATAACCAAAATTATGATAAATTTTTTAATTTAATAATTGTACTTGTAGAAAAAGTAGATGAGAGTTAATAATGCAATAGTTCCAGCAGGATTTTGTTTTGGAAACAAAACAGATACAATTTATATTTGCTTCATACTAGATTGCTTTAAATACTTCTGGGCTTAAATTAGTGGTATTTGCATTCACAGACACAAAATATTAATGTTAAATCTTAAAATAGTTTACATGTTTTAACTAGATAATCCTATATTTGTAAGTATAGTATGTTAACAACTGCTACTTGACAACTGGTTAAATTTAGAAATGCGTGAAAATGTTTGCACTTTGTTTAAAATATTATTGTTGCTGGTTTTTTAGGTTATTGCAGTGTTTATTAATTTATAGGTATAGTATTTTGTTATAAAGAAGTTTTGTTATGAAGAAAAATTGAATAATTTGTACGTTTTAACCTTTGGATATTTTATTTGCTGAATGAAATACTATACCTATAAATATAGGATTATTTAGTTAAAACGCATAAGAATAAAGCAAACCTATAATTAAGAAATTAAATACTTTAGTTTAACATTCTGAATGAAGGAAAAACTGACAATGTAGCAATAAGAAGAATAAACTGAAATAGAATAAGAAGAATTTTCAGTTTATTCTATAGAGTTGGCAACTAAGTGATTGTGGATTTTGTCAATAGGTGGCCTTAGCATATTTTTTGCTTTGGCATTGTGTTCAAAGCATTTAACCTATATTGTTTTCTTATTGTTTGGACTTCCATCTTTAATTTAGTAAAAAAATTGTATTGATTGGTTACTTAGTTTTGTTTTTATTCCAATTTAAAAATGGAAGCACAAGACATGCATTTCAGACGTATTTTATTGTATTATTTCCGAAAAGGCAAGAACGCATCACTTGCACACAAGAAGTTATGTGCCATATATGGGAATGAAGCCTTAAAAGAAAGGCAGTGTCAAAATTGGTTTGCCAAATTTTGTTATGGTGATTTTTCACTGAAAAATGCTCAACGATCTGGCCATCCAGTTGAAGTTGATGAGACCCATATCAAGGCCATTATCGATTCAGATCGTCATTGCACAATGCATGAGATTGCACAGAAGCTCAATGTATCACATACATGCATTTAAAAAAAATTAAAACAGCTTGGCTATGTCAAGAAACTGGATTTATGGGCCCTCATCAGCTTAAGGAAATTCATTTGACGCAACGCATTAGAATCTGCAAATCTCTTCTGAAATGCAATGAGATTGAGCCATTTCTGAAATGACTGATTACTGGCGACGAAAAGTGGATAGTTTATAGCAACGTTAATCGGAAAAGATCGTGGGTGATGCGAGATGAACCAGCCCAGATGACACCAAAAGCTGAGATTCACCAAAAAAAGATTATGCTGTCAGTTTGGTGGGATTATAAAGGAATTCTATACTTTGAACTTTTACCAAGAAACCAAACGATTAATTCAAATGTGTACGTTCAACAACTCGCCAAACTAAGCGATGCAGTTCAAGAAAAGCGGCCAGAATTGGCAAATCGTAAGGGTGTTGTTTTCCAGCATGATAATGCAAAGCCCCACACATCTTTGGTCACTCGCCAAAAATTATTGGAGCTAGGTTGGGATGTGTTGTCACATCCACCATATAGCCCTGACCTTGCGCCTTCAGATTACCATTTATTTCGTTCCATGCAGAACTCCTTAAATGGTAAAATTTTTAATGACGCTGATGATGTAAAAACACATTTAATTCAGTTTTTTGCTGGCAAAAATCAGAAGTTTTATGAACATGGAATTATGACACTGCCTGAAAGATGGCAAGAGGTCATTGACAAAAATAGACAATACCTAATTGAATAAAGTTATATTTTTAAGCAAAAATTTTGAAATTTCCTTCTTATTTAAAATCCGCAATCACTTAGTTGCCAACCCTATATATAAACATAAAGATTGGTATATTCATTCTAAAATATCTCTTTATTTTTTATAGAAATTTTTATGTGCTATTTCAATATTTAGGTCAATATCTGTTTGCTTATTAATGCTATCTGAGCTAAATTAGTTAAAGATAACTTAGATTATTCATATTATTGTATATAATAAATTTAATAAATAAGCCAAAATATTTAAATGTTTTGTGCACTTTCTACCATTTAATGAATACTGACCAAATTCTGAAATTACATATGAAATCAACATTATTAAAAGATAGTATTTTTATCATTTAAAATAAATCACTTTAATTTTCTTATGTCTGAAACAGGTCTTAACTAGCCATCCAATTGATTAATTCCAGTCATATTCCTTAAACAGATTTGTTTCTGTGTATATTATAAATTCTATACAATTTTCACACATGTTTCTTATTTACTTTCATGAAGACAGATTCATATAATGTACATATGTCTTCATGAGAGTAAATAAGCATGTGTGAAAACTTTTTGCTATGCTAAAAAAACTTAGGGACTAGTGCACTCTCACTTAGGCTTAAAGGAATCCAAGGAAAGTCATTTTGTGGCCCACAGAGTGTATTTAATTTAGTGTAGTGACTGTTAAAATAAATTTAGAATATTTTGGAAGAAAAGATCAGCCCAGAGTGGGATGACTTGAATCTGTAACACCTGCTTACCATGCAACATCTGCATGGTAATGTGTTGCCATTTACTTTACTTAGAATCCATCTGTTCTTTGCTTCCAATTTAATATTTCATATTAAAGCAAAGATTGGAATAAAGAAATAATAATATTTTAATATGTCTAACTATTAAATTTATCAATTATTGAAATAAATTGTAAAAACAGTGCCATTTATGATATATGCAAAAAGAGACTTGTTACAATGGCATGTTAAAACAAATACATTTGAAGAGAGTAAGTCCCATTTAAGAGGAAATGCAAGATAATCAACATTCTGATTTCGATATCTTTAGAATGTTAGGACACCGAATAACATTTTGAATATATATAATAATTAATCTGTAATCACATGACAAAAAAGCAATACAATAATCATAAGTACATTAAAAGGTATCATTAATACAAGACATTAAAAAAGATAGCATCATTTAGGAAAGGATATTATTTTTAATTAATAAAAAAAAATTGTAAAAAGTCACATATAATATTTAATACAACAATCAAGATGTCATGTAAAGATTGTCATAATAATGGAATATATTTTAAATTTGATATTATATAACAGTATTCATTATTTAAGATAATTGGCTAATTAGATAAAACCACAGAACACTGATCTGTGTCTGACGAATGAGTTGGCTACATGGAAATCTGCCTAAATAAAAAAAATCCTTGCAACCAAACTGGCTGCGAGATCTCACTTGACAGCATCAAAATACTTAAAAGGGAAAAAATATTATTAAAAGAAAATTTTACGAACATATTGAAATTATTAAAACTAAAGAAACACACAGAATGAACTTAAATACAGGTGCAGTCATAAATATGAATCTTTCGAAACAGAGTAATTTTCTGTTGAAAATAAACCCATTCAAAACGGAAACCTGCCAAATCAGAAAAATATTCAGTACCATGTAATTTTGGTTTACACAGGTTTTACTATATTTATTTATTTATTTATTTATTTTTTTCATAAGAGGATAGTAGTTTTATAGTTATAAGTTTAATGAATTGATTTGAGGGTAAAAATATGAAATGTAAGTATGTGCATGTGTACATACACACAGTTTTTTACATTACATTTATTTATCAGATTAATATATACGGTAGTTAGTAAGTAATCTGGACAGTAGACCTTTACATAAGTTGAATTTGTAAATTGCTTAAGTGTAACTATGTAATTAATAACTCAATACAGTATTTATTATTATACATGTACTGTATATGTATTATTTATTATTATAATTTTTTTTATTTTTGTATAAAAGAATTGTTTACAGGAAAGAGTGCCCAGTATGCTTGCGTACATGCTTACAATTAGACTGAAAAGTAAAGGATTAGCAGAGCAGTAAAGTAATAAATTGGTACAGTAAGAAAGAAAGAGAGAGAGAGAATGAATGAATGTTTGAAATAGAATAATTCTTTGTAAAATTACATGTTACTCTACTCAGATTTTTTTCCAATTTTTGAGATTTACATAACTGCAAATTTACGAGAGTCGTGTGTTATGTAACTCTGGATATTACTGTACTTTATGATATTTTAATATGTAAATTGCATGTTAAATATTAATTATTACTAAGTTAATTAAAGTAATAGATTTATAAATATTGTTTGATTATATTCTAGAAATGCCAATTATCTAACCAAAATATAACACAAATGAATTTATAAAATCTAGGACTACTTTTATTTTTTTATTGAAAAATGAATTAATTTTTTATGTTAATTATATTTTTCAGTATGATCCATATGCGTATCATATGAATAATTATGATTATGATCCCCATGGTAAGCATATATGCTTTATGTATTTATTTTATGTTTAAATAATGATTGAATTGCTGTCAAAATTTCTCATAACTGTTACCGTAGAAGTTAAAAGATATTTTAAGTCAATTACACATCAAAATTCAATTTTTATAAGACAAATAATGGATACCATGAAATGTTAAGATTATTAGTATATTTTTTAAGTTCTAGAACTATATTAATGTTTACAAAGAAAGCAGCATTCACATAATATACATACTTTTATTTTTTTCTCTTGTTATTCATAATTGTCATTCAAAGTAAACTAAAATGATCTGCTTTTGATTATTTTTAATTTTATAAGAATAGAGCCAGGTAAAATATTCTGAATATACCAAGAAAGTAGGCTATAAACAATTGTAGATTTGGCAGATTAAATTTATTAATAACTGAAAATTTAAAAGTTAATTGTCAAATATGAAAGTTTCTTTAGTTTTCATTTAAGTGCATTAGCACTTTTACTGTTCAGTGACTTAATAAAATATATTCACTTGTTGAATGACTGAGACAGTTGAGGTTTAAACCTACTGCTCTAGGAAACCTGGGATTGAATCTGGGTGGTCAAAAATCCCAAGGAAGATTTTTGGGATAGTTTAACTGGATATGTCAGGTCCTGTCTCTCACCACTAGATTGTCCCATTGATGGCCAAACACATGATGAGTATGGGAAAAAGACCCCTTTGTGCTCACAGGACAGAAAAAGCTTAAAAAAAAAATACTGTATCAGAATAATTTTGAAATTGTATAACAAAATAAGAACTGTCTAGTATAATATATTATTAAAATTTGGAAATAGAAACTCTATTCAATCAAAACAAAACAGACCAAATTATAGAAGTCATTAGTTTTATTTAGCAAGAATATTTTCAAACCTCTCAGTCTTACATCAGCAGCATTTTAAAGGTAATTTCTAGATCATATGAATTGAAATTAAAACTTAAATATAATTTATATTCTGTAGTTTAAATGTTTTAAACTATAGAGTATGGTAGTTAATAATGAAATAATATTTTGATTTTTAGTCATTTGATCTGGAAGTTCGTTTTAAAGTATAGTTGATGTTAAACTGAGAGAGTCAAAATGGTTTCTACTAAATAAAGCTAATAACTTCTATAATTTAGTTTTCATTGTGTTTGATTCCTTGATATTTTTACAATAGAGTTTAAATTAAATTATTAAAATGATTATATATTTTTTAATGAATAAATTATAAGTAGATATAAATTATCATATAGTAAAAGAAAACTGTTTAAAATTTTTCAGGTCCAAGTTATGATTTGGAAAGGCAATATTCTCAAACATATAAAATACCAGAACCTGTTTGTAAATTTTTAGTCCATTTGCGTAAAGCAATTAGTGACGGAAATGCATATGAAACTCAAAATTTATATGAAAACAGGTAAAGTAATTTAAATTTAATAATTTTCAATATATATATATATATATACATACATTTTAAATCTTTATGGACAGCACAATATAAAAATAAAAATAGATTTTAATACATTCATTTTACAATAAATAATATGAATATTTTTTGTAATGAAATTTAATTTTACTGTTTGAATGATAACTATTGTTTAGTATTATGAATTATTAATGCAGTAGAATGCACTTATTGTAAGTATTTTGTAACTCATCTATATTAATCACAATAACTGACTGATAACATTAAGTAGAATAAATAAAATAAGATTACAGTTAGTAGAAATTCCAATTTTATTGACTGATATTAAAAAGACCTGTTATAAAACAATTCAAAACTATATAACTTGAAGGTTTATTAATTATAATT